CTTAGTCATTTATAGTTTGTTTTTTCCGTTAAAAACTTTTTAATCCACCTTGAATTTGAGTATTGTATGAGGTAAGGCATCTTAACTCCCCCTGCCCTTGATTGCCACTTATAGCCACACTACTTGGTAATAATCCAGTAACACTGATGTATGTACTGTTTCACTAATCGTATGCTTATTTTCCAGAGCAATTTGGGGCTATGTATTTAATTTTTTTTTTTTTTTTTTTGAGATGCAGTCTCACTCTGTCACCTAGGCTGGAGTGCAGTGGCGTGATCTCGGCTCACTGCAACCTCCGCCTCTCGGGTTTAAGCGATTCTCCTGTCTCAGCCTCGTGAGTAGCTGGGATTACCAGCTACACAGCACATGGACTGGGCGCAGTGGCTCACACCTGTTACGTCAGTGCTTCAGGAGGCCAGGGCAGGACAATTGCTTCAGCCCAGGAGTTGGAGGCTGCAGTGGGCTATGTACCACCACGCCCAGCTAATTTTTGTATTTTTAGTAGAGATAGGTTTATTTGCCTTGTTGGCCAGGCTGCTTTTGAACTCCTGACCTCAAGTGATCTGCCTGCCTCCACTTCCCAAAGTGTTGAGATTAGAGGCGTAAGCCACGGCACCTGGCCCGGGCTTTTTGGTTTTTAACTATCTCTTTATCAATAGCTGTGTCAGTACCACACATGCTTAGTTTAATTCTGCTTAATGATATGCTTTGCTTTCTAATATAATACATCTGCCTCCATTATTGTTTTCCTAAATTAGCTACTTAAAAAAAAATTTTTTTTTGAACAAAGATAGGGTCTTGCTCTGTTGACCAGGCTGGTCTTGATATCCTGAGCTCAAGTGTTCCTCCTGCCTCAGCCTTCCAAAGTGCTGGGATTACAGGCATGAGCCACTGTGCCCAGCCTCTTAGCTACTATTTTATTGTATCTAATGTGTAAAATGATTTACTTTTTTTCCAGTTTTATTGTAAAAGATAAGTAACATAAAATCTGCCGTGTTAACCATTTTAAATGTACAGATGCGTGACATGAAGTACATTCACGTTTTTGTGCAGCTGTCACCACCATTCATCTCAACTTTCTCATCTTCCACACTGGAAACTGCCCATTAAACAATAATTCCCCATTCGCCCCTCCCCTAGCTGCTGGCAGCCTCCATTCTTTCTGCCTCTGCGGGTTTCATTACTCCCGGTATCTCGTACGAGGGGAACCGTACAGTATCTGGCCTGTGGTGTCTGGCTGTTTGGCACAGCATCGTGTCTCGAGGGTCCATCGAGTTCTAGCATGTGTCGATCCCGTTTCCTTTTTTGGCTGAATACTCCATTGTGTGTGTATATATCTTAATGGATGACTGTTATAAAAACCAAGTGTTGGCCGTCCTATGAAGCGGGATCTCTGTAGTTAGGATTCGTATTTCTCTAATGACTGTCGATGTTGAACATCTTTTCATGTGCTTATTGGTCATTTGTATATAATCTTTGGAGAAATGTCTGTGTAAGTCCTTTGCCCACCGTCTTTTTTTTTTTTTTTTTTTGTAAAGACCGGGTCTTACTACGTTGCCCAGGCTGAAGTGTACGGGCACAATCACAGCCCACTGCAGCCTCGAACTGCTTGGCTCAAGTGACTCTCCCACCTTGGCTTTGCAAGGTGCTGGGCTGATAGGCATAAACCACCACACCTGGCCTTTTGCCCCCACAGCACCCCCGCCTTTTATTTATTTATTGAATTTTTGAGACCGGGTCTTGCTCTGTTGCCCAGGCTGGAGTGCCGTGGCACAGTCACAACTCACTGCAATCTCCGCCTCCCAGGTTCAAGCAATTCTTCTTTTTTTTTTTTTTTTGAGACGGAGTCTCGCTGTGTCTCCCAGGCTGGAGTGCAGTGGCGTGATCTCGGCTCACTGCAAGCTCCGCCTCCCGGGTTCACGCCATTCTCCGGCCTCAGCCTCCCAAGTAGCTGAGACTACAGGCGCCCGCCACCACGCCCGGCTAGTTTTTTGTATTTTTAGTAGAGACGGGGTTTCACCATGTTAGCCAGGATAGTCTCGATCTCCTGACCTCGTGATCCACCCGCCTCGGCCTCCCAAAGTGCTGGGATTACAGGCTTGAGCCACCGCGCCCGGCCGTTCAAGCAATTCTTCTGTCTCAGCCTCCCGAGTAGTTGGGATTACAAGCGCCCGCCACCACTCCCGGCTAATTTTGTACTTTTTGGTAGAGACAGGGTTTCACCATGTTGGTCAGGCTGGTCTCTAACTCCTGACCTCAAGTGATCCACTTGACTTGGCCTCCCAAAGTGCCGTGATTACAGACATGAGCCACTGTGCCCAGTCTACCGTCAGTTGTTTTATTTGGGTGTTTTTTTTTTTTTTTTTGGGAGATGGAATCTCCCTCTGTCACCCAGGCTGGAGTGCAGTGGCACAGTCTCGGCTCACTGCAACCTCCACCTCCCAGGTTCAAGCGATTCTTCTGCCTCAGCCTCCTGAGTAGCTGAGACTACAGGTGCGTGCCACCACACCTGGCTAATTTTTGTGTTCTTAGTAGAGACGGGGTTTTACCATATTGGCCGAGCAGGTCTCGAACCCCTGACCTCCTGATCCACCTGTCTCAACCTTCAGCCTCCCAAAGTGCTGGGATTACAGGCGTGAGGCACTGCTCCCAGCTTACCTTAATTTTTTAAATGAAAATAGTGTGACTCTGCAGTTTCCCTGAAAAAAGTCCAGAGTTTCATAGATTCTACTTTGAGGATTGCTGATCTAGGTCTCAGTTTAAGCCAGCTGAGTATCCTGCTTTTTAAGGAGCCTTATATATGTCTCCCCTGTATATACCATTGTATTGTCTTGAATAGATCCTCCTTAGTGACCAGAACAAATGAGAATTCAGCATACTGCATCCCTAATTGTTTTGGAGTCACATCACTGTTTTTTTAGTTTCTCTTTTGCAGATTTTTCAAACTGCTGGCCTGCAGGCCATAAGAATCCTGTGTGTATGTTTTTTTGTGGTCCATCCAATGCCAATATTTCAGTTGGAGGATTTCTTATTAACATCTGGATTGCTGAATTTTCCTTTTTTTTTTTTTTTCTTTTTACTTGGATACATTTATGGGGTGCAAGGGTAATTTTGTTACATGTATAGATTGCATAGTGGCGAGGTCAGGGCTTTTTAGGGTATCTACTACACAGATAATGTACATTGTACCCATTAAGTTATCTCTCAACATCCACCCCTGCCATCTCTGGATTTTCTTGAGAAAGCGAAAGTATGGCATGGACAGGCCGGAGTTTCCTGCCTGAGTTTCCTGGTAGTCGTAGTCAGCTGGAGCTGAGTAGCAGCTGCCCCTTGAAACAGGCAGATGGGTTCTCTTTTTTGGGTGTTCCCATTTTACACTTTACAAAACAGTGTCTTGTTTTATAGAATAACATTCTTGTCAGATTTGCTGAGGACACATACACGCACTTAGGTTATTTTCTGACCCGGAATTATCTTTCAACTCCAGGGCGATGATTTTCTCTTTGTATAACTTACTGTTTCTCTAGTCCTGCAGATGTATTTCACATGTCTGATGATCCTTGGGTTAGCTTTTAGGCTTGAGAATGAGGCCCAGGACAAAAGCTCTGTGTACATAGAAGGGTATTGGTGATGGGCAGATGTTGAGTTCCAGCCGATGGAAACCTGGCCTTTGTGCTTTGCCATCCCTAACTGCCCGATTGCAGAGGACTTTGCTCTGGGTCACCACCTCTTACGTTAGCTGCTCTGGCTCTCTCTAGATCTGTTCCTTTAAAGAAATATGCGTGTGTGCACCTGCACCCATATTCAGGGAGAAATGCCAGTAAGTCAAGGATTCTGATTTAACGGTTTATAAACCCCGAGTTCTGTTTTTGGTCCCACTCTTCCTCACTCTGGATTCTATTGAGCCTCTCTCTAGGCAAATAGGAGGCAGATTCCCTTCTAGTTCTACCTCAGCTGTAGTCTTCCCTTCCAAGGATTTTTTTTCCTTCATTTCTGCTGTATCAATTATCTCTATTTCGTTGCCTTTCCATTTTCTAGAAATTTGTTATTTTAAGTAGGGCTGGGCACAGTGGCTCACGCCTGTGGTCCCAGCACTTTGGGAGGCTGAGGTGAGCAGATTGCCTGAGGTTAGGAGTTTGAAACCAGCCTGGCCAACATGGCGAAAACCGGTCTGTATTAAAAATACAAAAATTAGCTGGGCATGGTGGGGCATGCCTGTAATCCCAGCTACTCAGGAGGCTGAGGCACCAGAATTGTTTGAACCCGGGAGACGGAGGTTGCAGTGAGCTGAGATTGCACCACTGCACAGCCTGGGCAACAGAGCAAGACTCTTGTCTCCAAAAAAAAAAAGATTTTTTTTAATTGGTTAACTTCCTCTGCTAATCTCTGCTGTTGTAGGATTACAGTTTTTAAAAATTCTTTTACTGTCATTTTAATGGAGTTTAGAGGAAGGGTTAAGTATATGCATTCATGTGCCATTTCAAACCCAAAACCCTAAACCTCTGGCCTTATAAAATGGAATTCCAGGCCAGGCGCAGTGACTCACGCCCGTAGTCACAACACTTTGGGAGGCCGAGGCGGGTGGATCACTTGAGGTCAGGAGTTCTGAGACCAGCCTGGCCAACATGGTGAAACTCCGTCTCTACCAAAAATATAAAAAATTAGCCAGGTGTGGTGGCGCATGCCTATAATCCCAGCTACTCAGGAGGAGGCTGAGGCAGGAGAATTGCTTGAACCTGGGAGATGGAGATTGCAGTGAGCCGAGATTGCGCCACTGCACTCCAGCCTGGGCAACAAAGCAAGGCTCTGTCTCAAAAAAAATAAATAAATCTAGAAAAAAAAATAAATTTTAAAAATGGAATTCCAAAAGGAGATATTGCTGTAGTTGTTAATAGTTGTATATTTTAATTTTTCATTTTAGTATTAGTTTTAATGGAAGACCAAAGTTACCATAAAATTGTGTTGCTTATAATGTTATTTTATTTTTTGATATGAAATAGCTGATGACTGTCAGCCAGTTCGTCTGTTAAGTAAACCTGGGGAATTGAGAAGAGAATATGAAGAGGAAATAAGTAAGGTAGGTGCTAAATATTCTTTTTTTTTGGAATATTTCTCTGCTGTGTTTTTAGTTTCAGATTTTAATTTAGTTTTGTGTGCTTATATAACTAGTATATCTTGAAATATGGATAATTTTAATATATTTTATAAGGGCTTTGTTTTTTGCCATAATTTACTTCTACATGATTAATGCTCTTATGTGATAGTGTTCCCTAAGCATTTACATATGAAGGAAATTTTTTAATTCTTTTTTTTTCCTAATTTAATCCATACCAGGACATTTTTTTATTTCTCTAAAGTTTTGAGCTTAAAGAAAAAGGGTGGTAGATTATGGGTTTAGATGAGGAAAGGTTAAAGGGCTAACTGTGAAGTTCCTAAATAGGAAAAGTACCTAAAAAGCAGTGTTTACAGTGAAGCATTATGTTTTAATTACATGTAAAGTTTTACATAAATAGAGCTTTTTCTCTTTTTTTGTTAGTCTTCAAAATTTTGTGTGTAATTCTCACTTGTAATACATCTCAGGCTGGGTGTGGAGGTGCACACCTGTAATTTCAGTGCTTTGGGAGGCTGAGATGGGACAGCTATCTTGCAGGAATCTACTCCAGATTTGTACTTCATTTGAGATCATTTAAATCTCTGCCAATTTGTTCTTTTTCTACTTTATTCTTATTATGAAATATTGCAAGTATACCAAAGCGTTCAGAAAAGGATTGCTCTTTATTAATCACTTTTAAGGTGGAGGCAGAGCGACGGGCCAGCGAGGAAGAAGAGAACAAAGCCAGTGAAGAATACATACAGAGATTGTTGGCAGAGGAGGAAGAGGAGGAAAAAAGACAGGCGGAAAAAAGGCGAAGAGCGATGGAAGAACAACTGAGAAGTGATGAAGAACTGGCAAGAAAGCTGAGCATTGATATTGTAAGTTGTAGGAGAGAACGTTGAGGTACCGTCATCCCTTGGCACCCACTGCAGAACCCACTCAGAGGAAGAATCAGCTCCTTGTGTTCCCAGGTCTGCATCCCACAAAGACTGTCTTTTCCACCCCAGGATGGTTGAATTTGAGTGTTTGGAGCCTGCTGATACGGAAAGCTAACTATTAGCATTCCTATTGCTTTGACTGTGGTTTTCTTTTTATTTTTGAGACGGAGTCTCGCTCTGTCGCCCAGGCTGGAGTGCAGTGGCCGGATCTCAGCTCACTGCAAGCTCCGCCTCCCGGGTTTACACCATTCCCCTGCCTCAGCCTCCCGAGTAGCTGGGACTACAGGCGCCCACCAACTCGCCTGGCTAGTTTTTTGTATTTTTTAGTAGAGACGGGGGTTTCACCGTGTTAGCCAGGATGGTCTCGATCTCCTGACCTCGTGATCCGCCTGTCTCGGCCTCCCAAAGTGCTGGGATTACAGGCTTGAGCCACCACGCCCAACCTGACTGTGGTTTTCAAAGAACAGAAGAGATGGCGTTGCCATAATTAGAAGCTATTGATGACATTTTTGCTTTACCTAAAGTAAAATTGTTTTGCATATTGTTACATGTTTGCTCTAATCCAGGTTTTGGGGTTTCTGGTTTTCTGAGACAGGTCTTACTCTGTCATGCACGTTGGAGTGCAGTGGCATAATCACGACTCACTGCAGCCTCGACCACCGGGCTCTGGTGACCCTTCCAGCCTCCCGAGTAGCTGGGACTACAGGCTTGCACCACCATGCCTAGCTGATCTTTTATGGAGACACGGTTTTGCCATGTTTCCCAAACTGATGTCAAGCTCCTGGGCTCAAGCCATTCACCTGCCTCAGCCTCCCAAAATGCTGGGTTTATGGCGTGAGTCACTGCAGATTGTTTAAAAACTTTTTTATATGTAGGAAAGCTATTCAGTGAAGAATGAAAGCTTCCTTTTAAACCTTCTTTCACCTCTCCACTCCCGTTCCTTTTCCAATTATATCAGTCTCTTTCCCCAAAGGTAACCACTATTAACAGTTTCTTACAACTTTTTTCTTGCCAGGGTGCAATGGCTCAGGCCTGTAATTCCAGTACTTTGGCAAGCTGAGGCGAGAGGATTGCTCGAGCCCAGAAGTTTGAGACCAGCCTGGGCAACAAAGTGAGACTCTGTTTCTACAGAAAAATAAAATAGTTAGCCGAGTGTGGTGGTACGTGCCTGTAGCTCCACCTACTGGGAGGGGCTGAGGCAGGAGGATCCCTTAAGCCCAGGAGTTTGAGGTTATGGTGAGCTGATCTCGCCACTGCACTTCAACCTGGAAGAACGTCTCAAAAAAAAAGCTTTTTTTCTTTGTTCACCTAAAAAGGATTATATAAAAGCAATCACACTGTTTTGCTGCTTGCATTTTTTCCACTTGATACATCTTAGAGATTTTTCATATTACTACATGTAGTCAATCTAATTCTTTTAAAGAGTAGAACAATATTCCATTTTATGGATGTAAATCACATTTTGAAAGTAAAGCACATTAAATTTTTAGATAATGTATTAAACTTGGATGTTATGCTTCCTGTAGTTAAATTGCTGCATGTAAAACAATGAATTAAAGGGCGTGTGATAAAACACATACTTTAAGATCAGAGGGTACAGTGGAGCCTAGTGGTTTGAATGAGCCTGGGAGAGTAACCTGGGAGTGCTGTTGACATACGAACTCTCCTATTTACTCCAAATCTATTAAATCAGAGTCTCTAGGGATGGGACCTAGGGAATTCTATCTTCAGAGGCATCTAGGGAAGCGTGAAACGTTCAGGTTTGAGAGCCTCCGAAAACAATTCCTCAGCTTTCAAATAACAGATATCTTAACATACACTTACCATCGAATCATGAGAAATACAATAGGACTATTGTCTATTGTATTTATTCTATTGTATTGTTTTTTGAGACAGGTCTTACTCTGGGAAATACAGTACAATAGAATAAAATATATATGTGTTTTTTATATATACATATATTTATATGCATATATACGTATATTTATACACATATATTTATATATGTGTATATGTACATATATATTTTTATATATATACACACACACACTTACCAAAATGAGTATACTCAGAATTGGGAATATTTTTCTTTTTTGAGAGGCATACCATTCATAATAATATACCCAAATTTTGGGTTATATGCACCTTTTTATGTGTCTTTTGAGTAGAATCACTTTAGAAAGATACACAATCAGGAAACTAAATAAAAGTCATTGACCAATGGAATAATAATTGGAATAGGGAAGAAATATATCTAGTTTTCCCATGGTATTATAAGAGTAGATTCATTGATATTGTAGAATAATTTTTTAACTTATTTTTTATGAGTAGATTCACTGATATTGTAGAATAATTTTTTAACTTATTTTTTATGAGTAGATTCATTGATACTGTAGAATAATTTTTTAACTTATTTTTTATGAGTAGATTTATTGATATTGTAGAATAATTTCTTTTTAACTAATTTTTTTGAGACAGCCTCTCACTCTGTCACCCAGGCTGGAGTGCAGTGGTGCAGCCTCAGCTCCCGGTTCAAGCAATTCTCCTGCCTCAGCCTTCCGAGTATCTGGGATAACAGGCACCACCCCACCCTGTTAATTTTTGTATTTTTAGTGGAGATGGGGTTTCGCCATGTTGGCCAGGCTGGTCTTGAACTCCTGGCCTCATGTGATCCACCCACTTCGGCCTCCCAAAGTGTTGGGATTACAGGCATGAACCACCATACCCAGCCTAGAATAATTTTCTATTTATTTATGAAAGTTTGGTGGTTTAAGGCCAAATATTCATCATCACCATATATGAACTTTTCCATTAGGGTGGTAAGAAACTTATGAGACTGGTACAGCAAGTAAATGTTTATGATTTTTATTGATATGCCCTTAAAGTCCAGAACTAAAATATTATTACATAGAACTCTTCTTTCGGGTATATCCACAGCTCTTTGAATATGTCCATATAGATAAAAGTAATTATGTAAAATTATTTATTAGAAAAATCAACAGGCTGGGCGCAGTGGCTCAGACCTACAATCCCAACACTTTGGAAGGCTGAGGTGGGGGAATCACTTGCTTCTAATAGTTGGAGACCAGCCTGGGTAACATAGTGAGACTTCATCTCTACAAAACATTTTTTAAAAAGTAGCTGGGCATGGTGGCACATGCCTGTGTCCTAGCTACTCAAGAAGCTAAGATGGGAGGATTGTCTGAGCCCAGGAGGTTGAGGCTACATGAGCTATGATCACTCCACTGCACTCCAGCCTGGATGACAGAGTAAGACTGTCTCAAAACAAAACAAAAAAACCCACCTAGCCAAGCATGGTGGCTCATGCCTGTAGTCCTAGCTACATGGGAGGTGAAGGCAGGAGGATCACTTAAACATGGGAGGTCAAGGTTGCAAGGAGCCGTGATTGCTGCACTGCGCTCTAGCCTCGGCAGCAGAGTGAGACCTTGTCTTTAAAAAAAAAAAAAAAAAAAGGCTGGGCATGGTGGCTCACGCCTGTAATCCTAGCACTTTAGGAGGCCGAGGCGGGCAGATCACAACGTCAGGAGATCGAGACCATCCTGGCTAACACGGTGAAACCCTGTCTCTACTAAAAAAAATTAGCCGGGCAAGGTGGCGGGCGCCTGTAGTCCCAGCTACTCGGGAGGCTGAGGCAGGAGAATGGCGGGAACCCGGGAGGTGGAGCTTGCAGTGAGCTGAGATCGCGCCACTGCACTCCAGCCTGGGCGACAGAGCGAGACTCTGTCTGAAAAAAGAAAAGAAAGGAAAGAAAAATCAACAGGAATTATCAGCTGATGAGATTAGTATTATGCCTTATTTTGTGCTTGATGATATACAGTAAAAATGTAATTAATTTAGACCAACTTAGATGAACATAGTTTATTCTGATTTTTGCATAGCCAGTATTCTTCAAGGGATGTATAGAATTTAAATGGAACTATAATTTCTGAAAAATGCTGTTTGGATTTCTGAATTTGTCAAATTAATAGCTTATTTTATCATAAAGTTCTCTCTCATAATGTCTGTTACGCTTTTTCTATTGTTGAAGAACAATTACTGTGAGGGAAGTATCTCGGCTTCTCCGTTGAATTCCAGAAAATCTGATCCAGTTACACCCAAGTCTGAAAAGAAAAGTAAGAACAAACAAAGAAACCCTGGAAATATTCAGAAGTAAGTGAGTGTGGCTCTGAATTACTTATTGACCTCCTACTATATGCCAGCGTTTTCTGTTCATATAGACTACTGATTCTCGAAGTTTGGTCCATGAACTTTGTATAAAGATAGTCTGAGGTTGAGGTAAAGTGAAAAGGAGAGAGCTACTCACACAGCTTCCTCGTGGCTAGCATGAAGAGAGAGGTGAAATGTGGCAGGCTTTTCACTCAGCCAGTTATTGCGCAGATTTATACTTTATCTTACTGGCTCAGGATTTCCACTTTTCTCAAAGTGAACCATCGGATTCCTCTTCCTCTTGGTTTAAATTCAGATGAATAAAACTGGTCCCGGATAGGCTTATCTTCATTGAAGGAGTTTACAATTTGTCTTCGTATTTCTTCTCTGTTACACCGAATGCATGAGCCAGGTAGTCCCGGGTGGCGAGACTGAGCTTCACCACACTCCAGGGTCAAGTACTCGGTGGGGTTGGCGGCTTTGTGCGAACATCAGCTTTCCCGTGTGATTCGTAGTTGGAAAAGTTTAAAAACCACCATGTAGACTTGAAAAATAATGTCAGGACTTCTGGTTTAACTGAGGAAGTATGTGCAGGTAACTCATCTCCTTCCAAGATTTGTTGGAATTTTGAATTTGGGGTGGGAGGAAGCTTAGGAGAAGGGAATGTTAAATGAGGGAGGTACTATTTAAAAAAAAAAAAAAAAGATGTGACAATATCAGGGTCGCCAGTTCTCGATGTGCAAAGTAAAATGAAGAGAAAACCACTAAAATGCAGAGGTATTTCATATGGATACAATATTCTGCTTAAGGCTATATAACTCATGAATCTTTATGTATCTAAATATATACTTTGAAATACTTAAAAATAAAAAATTACCAGAAATACAAGAAAAAACTAAGGATTTAAAAGCAAAAATTGAGAAACTGACGGATTAAAGTTGTAACAATATTAAAAACAGATAAAGTCTGTTTCCTAGAATATATGAAAACTCTTCTAACTCAACAACAGAAGACAAATAATTAAAAACTGGACAAAGGGACTTGAGTAGACGTTTTTCCCATGATGTACAAATGGCCAATAAGTACACGAAAATATGTTTAACATCATTAGTTATTAAGGAAATGCATATCAAAACCACGGTGAGATAGCATTTCATACCCATTAGAATGTCTATAATCCACAGAAAGGGAAAAGAGTAAGTGTGGATAAAGATGTGGAGAAACTGGAATCCTTGCGCATTGCTTGGTAGGAGTGTAAAGTGGTGTGGCTGCAGAAACAGTTGGTGATTCCTCAAAAAGTTAAACAGAATTAGCACATGACCCAGCAATTCCACTCCTAGGTATGTACCCAAAAGAACTGAAAGCAGGTATTCAGACAAATGCTAGTACATGAATATTTGTGTCAACATCTTTCAAATAACCAAAAGGTAGAACAACCCAAATGTCCATTAACAAATGCATGGGTAAACAAAATGTGGTGTTCAATTTTATGTGAATTCCACCGCAATTCAAAAGTTTAAAAATGAATAACAGGGCCGGGCGCGGTGGCTCACGTCTGTAATCCCAGCACTTTGGGAGGCTGAGGCGGGCGGATCACGAGGTCAGGAGATTGAGACCATCCTGGCTAACATGGTAAAACCCCGTCCCTACTAAAAATACAAAAAAAAAAAAAAACTAGCCGGGCGAGGTGGCGGGCGCCTGTAGTCCCAGCTACTCGGGAGGCTGAGGCAGGAGAATGGCGTGAACCCGGGAGGCGGAGCTTGCAGTGAGCCGAGATCACGCCACTGCACTCCAGCCTGGGCGACAGAGTGAGACTCCCTCTCAAAAAAAAAAAAAAAAAAAAAAAAAATGAATAACAGGATTATGTAGTTTTAAAACTAAGAAAAATTTCTAAACAACTTGTTGATTGAAGAGTAAATTTTGTTGGAAATACAGAACTGAAAATATGCGTGAAAACTGCTATGTGGCTAAAGTGGTATTTAGAAGGCTTTACATGCCTTATCAAGAAAGAAGAAAGGGCAGCCAGGTGTTGTGGCACGTACCTGTAGTCCCAGCTACTTGGGAGGCTGAGGCAGGAGGATTGCTTAAGCCCAGGGATTTTGACTTTGGGACCAGCTTGGACAACATAGCAAGATCCTGTCTCTTTAAAAAAAAAAGAAAGAAAGAAGCCGGGCAGTGCCTCATGCCTATAATCCCAGCACTTTGGGAGGCTGAGGTCTGAGGTGGTAGGATTGCTTGACGCCAGGAGTTCAAGACCAGACTGGGCAACATAGTAAGACACTGTCTCTACACAAAATAAAAAAATTAGCCAAACGCAGTGGCACATGCCTATAACCCCAGCCACTTGGGAGGCTGAGGTGGGAGAATTGCTTGAGCCCAGGAGGTCGAAGCTGCAGTGAGCTAGGATCATGTCTCAGAAAAGAAGACAGCAGCTGAAAATGTATTTAAAAAGACAATTCCAGGAATACATTGCTGGTTTAATGGTAGCAAAGGAATCAATGCAAGTTATTCCATTAGCTGTATGAATATGAAATACATGAGATGATAATTTTTTTTTTTTTTTTTTTTTTTTGAGACAGAGTCTCGCTCTGTCGCCCAGGCTGGAGTGCAGTGGCCGGATCTCAGCTCACTGCAAGCTCCGCCTCCCGGGTTCACGCCATTCTCCTGCCTCAGCCTCCCGAGTAGCTGGGACTACAGGCGCCCGCCACCTCGCCCGGCTAGTTTTTTGTATTTTTTTAGTAGAGACGAGGTTTCACCGTGTTAGCCAGGATGGTCTCGATCTCCTGACCTCGTGATCCACCCGTCTCGGCCTCCCAAAGTGCTGGGATTACAGGCTTGAGCCACCACGCCTGGCCAAGATGATAATTCTTAACGAAGTGGTAACGGAAACTTTTTTAACCTGTTGAAGGATATCTACCAAAATCTTCCATCACATATCATACTTAATAGTGGAACATGGAAATTATTTCCTTCTTTTTTTTTTTTTGAGACAGAGTCTTGCATGCTCTATCACCCAGGCTGGAGTGCAGTGGTGTGATCATGGCCCACTGCAACCTCAAACTCCTGGGTACAAGCGATCCTCCTGCCTGGGCCTCCCAAAGTGCCTGGATTACAGGAGTGAGCCACCACGCCCAGCCATTCCCCTTTTAAGGTCAGGAAAACACAAAGGTGGCCTGCTACTCTCCAGCTGTTTTCAGACTCATGTTGGAGATTTTAGTTCGCACAGTAACACAATAAAAGGAGATAAAACATATGAGTCTGGAAAGGAGGGGAAAAGCAGCTACCATTCTTCAGAGGCGGTATAACTACGTAGAAAACCCAAAAAGTCAGAGGTGCATTTTTAGAAGGAAGAGTTTAGCAAGGTTGCCAGATATAAAATCTATACAAAAAGTCAGTTATAAAATGTAACTTTAAAAATACTCTGTTGATAGTAGTATCAGAAAATAAAAGTACTTAGAAATAAATGTATTAAAATCTGACCCAAGCATGATGGCTCATGCCTGTAATCCCAGCACTTCGGGAGACTGGGCGAGAGGATTGCTTGGGCCCAGGAGTTCAAGACGAACCTGGGCACCAGAGGGAGACCCCATCTCTTAAAAAATTTTAAAAAATTAACCAGGGCCGGGCGCGGTGGCTCAAGCCTGTAATCCCAGCACTTTGGGAGGCCGAGGCGGGCGGATCACGAGGTCAGGAGTTCGAGACCATCCTGGCTAACACGGTGAAACCCCGTCGCTACTAAAAAAAAAAAAAAAAAAAACTAGCCGGGCGTGGTGGCAGCGCCTGTAGTCCCAGCTACTCCGGAGGCTGAGGCAGGAGAATGGCGTGAACCCGGAAGGCAGAGCTTGCAGTGAGCTGAGATCCGGCCACTGCACTCCAGCCTGGGCGACACAGCGAGACTCCGTCTCAAAAAAAAAAAAAAAAAAAATTAACCAGGCATGATGACGCACCTGTCGTCCCAGCTACTCAGATGGCTGAGGCAGGAGATCACTTGAGCCTGAGGTTGTGGCTGTAGGGAGCTATGATTTTACCACTGCTCTCCAGTCTGGGCAACAGACAAGACCATGTCTCAAAAAAACTAAAAATCTGTAAGACCCATGGAGAACATTGTACTAAATTAAATATACAATATTCATGGGTTAGAAGATGATGCCTAATACTACAAAATGGTCAGATCTCCTCAAACTGATCAATAGAGTTAGTGCAATTCGAGTCAGAATTCCAACTTTTCAGATTTTCTTTTTTTTTTTTTTTGAGACAGAGTCTCGCTCAGAATCATACAGTGCTAATCAGTAAAGTGTTTAGAGATGCAAAAGTGTGGTAAATCTGTTTTAAAAAGTAAGATATAAGAAACTCAGGATAGTGTGAGGTGGGAGATGAGGAGGCCCCATAGGAGCCTTTAGAACCAATGATTTATTTTCCCTTCAACCATGTAATAAGCATATAGGCTTTCATGGTAATCGAAATGTTTAAATTTTTTAGAAGAACAACATGTTTTTTGTTTTGTTTTGTTTTGTTTTTAATGGACCACAGAGCAGCAAACACATATTTTAAAGTGCACCAGTCTTCAGCACCATAAGACAGGGTACAAAAGAAAAAGTAAGATAGTTTAAATTTAAAAAGACGGGGCACCAATCCTAAGTATACTTTCTGGTGAATTTTTGTGTATGTATAAACCACCCTCCAGATGAAGACAGGGAATATTTACAAAGCTGTGCTCGTGCCCTTTCCCTTTCCAGTCAGTGTCCACCTCCCCATCCGTGCTGTACTGTGATTCTTACATACGTTATATGACCGTTCTCTCATAAACTGTTTGTTTTCTTAAGGCAGACTTGGAAAGATCTTAAGACATTAGTGAAAAAAAGCAAATCACGGGCCGGGTGCAGTAGCTCACGCACGTAATCCTAGCACTTTGGGAGGCTGAGGCAGGCGGATCGCTTGAGGTCAGGAGTTCAAAACCAGCCTGGCCAACATGGTGAAACCCCGTCTCTACTAAAAATACAAAAAAATTAGCCAGGCGTGGTGGCGGGCACCTGTAATCCCAGCTACTGGGGAGGCTGAGCCAGGAGAATTGCTTGAGCCCAGGAGGCAGAGGTTGCATGAGCCAAGGTCACACCACTGCACTCCATCCTGGGCAACAGAGCGAGCCTCCATCTCAAAAAAAAAAGAGTGTGAGGCTGGGTGTGCTGGCTCATACCTGCAATCCCAGCACTTCGGGAGGCCAAAGCAGGTGGATCACTTGAGCCCAGGAGTTTGAGACCAGCCTGGGCAACATGCGGAAAGGAAACCCTGTCTCTACAAAAAATAACAAGAATTAGCCGGGCGTGGCATGCCTGTGGTCTCAGCTGTTTGGGAGGCTGAGGTGGCAGGATCACTTAAACCTGGGAGGTCAAGGCTGCAGTGGACTGTGATGGTGCTACTGTACTTAAGCCTTGGTGACAGAGCGAGACCCTGCCTTACAGGTGTGGTGGCTCATGCCTGTAATCCCAGCTCTTTGGGAGGTCGAGGTGGGTGGATCACCTGAGGTCAGGAGTTCAAGACCAGCCTGACCAACATGGTGAAACCCCGTCTCTAATAAAAATACAAAAATTAGCCAGGCATGGTGGCGAGTGCCTGTAATCCCAGCTACTCAGGAGGCTGAGGCAGAGAGAATTGCTTAAAACCCAGTGAGCTGAGATTGCGCCACTGCACTCCAGCCTGGGCAATAGAGTGAGACTCCGTCTCAAAAAAATAAATAAATAAAACAATGGCCAGGTGCTCATGCCTGTAATCCCAACACGTTGGGAAGCCTAGGTGGGCGGATCACCTGAGGTCAGGAGTTCGAGACCAGCCTGTCTCTACTAAAAATACAAAAATTCGCTGGTGGTGCATGCCTATAATCCCAGCTACTTGGGAGACTGAGGCAGGAGAGTTGCTTAAACCCAGGAGGCTCGTGCCATTGTACTTCAGCCTGGGCGACAGAGCGAGGCTGTGTCCCCCAAAAAATAAAATAAATAAAAAAGATAGTGTGTATTTTGTAGAAGTCATATTTTTTTAAAAATTGATTACATATGTTAAAAGGAAAACCTTAGACAAATTAACAGTTTAATTGAGCAAATGACAATTCACAAATTGGGCAGCCTCTCGAGCCACAGTGGGCTGAGAGAGACTCCAGTGGAGCCACATGTTGGAAGAAGATTTACGGACAGAAGAAGGAAGGGGATACACGGAAAGCAGAAGTGAGGTGCACAAACAGCCAGAGCGGCTACAGCTTGGCATTTGCCTAATTTGAACAGTTGGCCCCCTTTGGCCAAAACTTGGTGACTGGCCCAAGAGTATGTTACAGGCTGTTTACACCTCCATTTAGGCTGTAGTTCACTATGTACAGAGAAACCTTTGGGCTGAACCTAAAATATGTAAGGAGGCAGCTTTAGGCGAAACTTAATATAAAACGTTAAAGGAAGCAAATGGAAATAGATCCCAAAAATTCAGATTCAAAGTAAAAAGAAAAAAAAAGTTTTTAAAACATGGGAAGGGAAAGGGCTGATGACATATATTTCCCATATTTCTGTTGTAAGAGACAGGGTCTCCCTGTCACCCAGGCCGTAGTGGCAAGAAAATAGCTCACTGGAGCCTCAAACTCTTGGGCTCAAGCGATCGTCCCACCTCGGCTTCCGGAGTAGCTGTACTATAGGCACACACCATTATGCCCAGCTAATTTTTCTTTTTAATTTTTTGTAGAGATGGGTCTTGCTGTGTTGTCCAGTTTTCGGACTCCTGGCCTCAAACGAGCCTCCCACCTCAGCCGCCCAAAGTGTTAGAATTACAGGCATGAACCACCACGGCCAGTTCCGCTAATTTTTTAGGATGAGCATGTATTCATACATTACTTGGTTATTATAAATAAGGAATATCCAAGAGAGTTAATGAATGTTCAGCGATTCTGTTGGATAAGTAACAACATTTTGTTCTTTGCTTATGAACTTCAAAACAACAATTAGAACAGTGATGCTTTGGTACTAGTATACTCGGTAACTAGTGGTCCAGCATCACCATTGGCAGAAGGAATCGATTCTTCTGCCTTGAGAAACTAAATGAGACTAAGCTTCTTTTCAACTGAAAATTTGGTTCTTGTTCTTCAAAGTTTACAGAGTAAATATATAGATTGATGTAACTAAATACATGGGTTAGGTACTTTTGTTTGCCCGCAAGGAATATTCATTTATATGAATAATTGAATTGAATAAATGACTGTTCTTTATATGAGATCTTTGTTTAGGTTTTATTGTTCCATATGCTACTTGTTGGTGCTTTTGACACCGTGTAACTTATGGATTTGTGTATTATTTATAGTCACTTTTTTTTTCTTTAATTCTAAAAGTAATAGCTAGCTGCTCTTTGAAAATCACCCAAAGTTACCACCAGTTGGAGACAACCAACATTTTGGGAAATTTCTGCCATTTTTAAACATAGTTATGTGAGTGTTTTGATATTTTACAGTTTTTAAACTATACCTACCATCTTGTAGCCTGCCTTTTCTATTCCCCTATTCCCCCTTCTTTTATAACATTTTCCATTATATTAAAAACTTAATGTTTTCAGTGGCAAACAGCCTGTTATATTGAAGATTCTTAGAAATGTAAAGATATGACCAGGCGTGGTGGCTCACACCTGTAATCCCAGCACTTTGGGAGGCCGAGGTGGGTGGATCACCTGAGGTCAAGAGATCGAGACCATCCTGGCCTACATGGTGAAACCCTGTCTCTACTAGAAATACAAAAATTAGCTGGGCGTGGTGGCGCATGCCCGTAGTCCCAGCTATTCAGGAGGCTGAGGCAGGAGAATCGCTTGAACCCGGGAGGCGGAGGTTGCAGTGAGCCGAGATCACTCGACTGCACTCCAGCCTAGCGACAGAGCGAGACTCCTTCTCAAAAAAAAAAAAAAAAGAAAAAAGAACATAAAGATACGTGTTTCTAAGAAGAGAGTTGAGGGCCAGGCACAGTGGCTCAAGCATGTTATCCCAGCACTTTGGGAGGCCGAAGCCGGTGGATCACCTGAGGTCAGGACTCCGAGACCAGCCTGGCCAATGTGGTGAAACCCAGTCTCTACTAAAAATTATAAAAATTAGCTGGGCAGGCCGGGCGCGGTGGCTCAAGCCTGTAATCCCAGCACTTTGGGAGGCCGAGACGGGCGGATCACGAGGTCAGGAGATCGAGACCATCCTGGCTAATATGGTGAAACCCCGTCTCTACTAAAAATACAAAAAACTAGCCGGGCGAGGTGGCGGGCGCCTGTAGTCCCAGCTACTCGGGAGGCTGAGGCAGGAGAATGGTGTAAACCCGGGAGGCGGAGCTTGCAGTGAGCTGAGATGCGGCCACTGCACTCCAGCCTGGGCGACAGAGCGAGACTCCGTCTCAAAAAAAAAAAAAAAAAAAAATTAGCTGGGCGTGCTGGCACATGCCTGTAATCCCAGCTACCTGGGAGGCTGAGGCAGGAGAATCACTTGAACCTGGGAGGCGGAGGTTGCAGTCAGCTGAGATTGCACCACTGCACTCCAGCCTGGGTGGCAGAGCGAGACTCCATCTCAGAAAAAAAAAAAAGAAGAGAATTGATATAAAAGTATATATGATAACATCTCTATACCAGAATAGTAAGGAATTTAACTGTGGGCTTTTTCCCAATAGTAGAGATTTAAAGTGTAGTGAACAGCCAACGTTTCTGGCATAAAGAAGCAGCTGTCATATCCTTTCTCCTGGCTTAAAGCATCATTTTCATTACTTTTTTGAAGACTACAGAGTCTTGCATTGTTTTGATACTATTTGCCTTTTTCAGTTTTTTTCAAGAATTAAGAAATATTTACGCCAGACGCAGTGGCTCACGGCTGTAATCCCAGCACTTTGGGAGGCCGAGGTGGACGGATCACCTGAGGGTCAGGAGTTCGAGACCAGCCTGACTAACGTGGTGAAACCCCGTCTCTACTAAAAATACAAAAATGAGCCAGCGGTGGTGACATGTGCCTCTAATCCCTGCTACTCAGGAGGCTGAGGCAGGAAAATCACTTAAACCCAGGAGGTGGAGGTTGCGGTGTGCTGATACCATGCCACTGCACTCCAGCTTGGGTGACAGAGGGAGACTCCATCTCAAAAAAAAAGAGAGAGAAAAGAAATATTTAGATTTGACTTTTACTTCCTCTTCTGTTTTTCACTAAAATATCAATACTGAACCATTAAATTTTGTCCTGGCATTAGGCCAAAATACCTGAAGCGTGGAAATGAAATACACTGTGATAAATCAGTCAAGCAGCAAACCAGACAACCTTCAGTATAAATAGCTTTATTATGTTGGGTACATACCATCTGCCTTTCAAAGCATCCAAACTTTGGTAAACTTTTCTTTCAGGTATTTGACGCCTAAATCTCCGTTTGGGTCGGCCTCACACTCTGAAGCTGTACAAGAAGCCAGGAAAAACTCCGTATCTAAGGTATGTTGATAGTGAAGATGTTCTGAGTTGTGCTAGTTTATTAATGCTGTAGATTATGATATCCATAGTTTTCTACCTTTTAACAAAAGCCACTAAGTTAGTCAGACACCCTTTCTGAGTCCTCTTAGGTTCACCTAGAGAAAAAGCACCTTTTCTCTAAAGGAAACTACGATTTTTTTTTTTTTTTTTTTTTTGAGACGGAGTCTCGCTCTGCCGCCCAGGCTGGAGTGCAATGGCCGGATCTCAGCTCACTGCAAGCTCCGCCTCCCGGGTTTACGCCATTCTCCTGCCTCAGCCTCCCAAGTAGTTGGGACTACAGGCGCCCGCCACCGCGCCCGGCTAGTTTTTTGTATTTTTTAGTAGAGACGGGGTTTCACCGTGTTAGCCAGGATGGTCTCGATCTCCTGACCTCGTGATCCGCCCGTCTCGGCCTCCCAAAGTGCTGGGATTACAGGCTTGAGCCACCGCGCCCGGCCGAAACTACGATTTTTAAAATAAACATACTATAAAAAGCAAATCTGCCTTAAAAAGCAAAGTTTTTCTCTGATGGGCTAGAGAGTAAATAATTTCGCCTTTGCAGTTAGTATGGTCTGTGTCATAGCTTCTCAGCTATGCTGGTATAGTGTGAAAGCATCTACAAATAATACGTAAACACATTAGCTTGAATGCATTCCAGTAAAACTGTTTACAAAAACAGGAGGCTGGATTTGGCCCATGAGCCATAGACTACTGATCCTTGACCTACGTGATCCAGACTCACAAAACTTAATAACTTATACCTGGCACCAGCTTCACTTAGAATATTACAAGATGGAGCCAGAATGCAGTGGCTCGCGCCCGTAATCCCAGCATTTTAGGAGACTCAGGCAGGTGGATCACCTGAGGTCGGGAGTTCAAGACCAGCCTGACCAATATGGAGAAACTCCATCTCTACTAAAAATACAAAATTAGCCAGGCATGGTGGTGCATGCCTGTAATCCCAGCTACTCAGGAGGCTGAGGCAGGAGAATTGCTTGAACCCAGGAAGTGGAGGTTGCAGTGAGCCGAGATAGTGCCATTGCACTCCAGCCTGGGCAACAAGAGCGAAACTCCGTTTCAAAAAAAAAAAGAATATTACAAGATGGGAGGCCAAGCACAGTGGCTCATGCCTATAATCCCAGCACTTTGGAGGCTGAGGTGGGTGGAAAGTTGGGAGTTCGAGACCAGCCTGGCCCATGTGGTGAAATCCCATCTCTACTAAAAATACAAAAAAAAAAAAAATTAGCCAGGTATGGCACACACCTGTAGTCCCTGCTACTCAGGAGGCTGAGGTAGGAGTATTGCTTGAACCTGGGAGGCGGAGGCTGCAGTGAGCCGAGATCATGCCATTGCACGCCAGCCTGGCTGACAGAGCGAGACTCCACCTCAAAAAAAAAAAAAAAAAGAATATTACAAGATGAGGAAAAATGTGCTAGTAAGGCAGCATCAGGCACATGTGTCCAGCAGGAGGCCTCAGCAGCAGAGCTCCAAGGTGACAGCCTGGAAGAAGGCCACACAAGTGAGTGTATGAACTACTTGGAGGCCGCGTGCCCTGTGAGGGTCAGTTATTCCTTCTAACAGTGGATGTAGCTTCCGGGGTCTTGGTAAGAAACACACCCAGTCAAGTTACTTATAGAAGTAACTTATAGAAGTCCCAAGCTTTGTCTTCCAAACACTAGGTGGTTTTTTTTTTTTTTTTTTTTTTTTGCTTGTTGGTTTTGTTTTGTTTATTTTTTTTTTGAGAGAATCTCTCGCCCAGGCTGGAGTGCGGTGCATGCTCAGTGCATCCTCAGCTTCCCCAGCAGCCGGGACTACAGGCGCCCACCCCCATGCCCGGCTCATTTCTGGATTTTTAGTAGAGACGGGGTTTCATCATGTTGGCCAGGCTGGTCTCAAACTCCTGACCTCAGGTGAGCTGCCCGCCTCAGCCTCCCGAAGTGGTGGGATTACAGGCGTGAGCCACCGCGCCCGGCCATGTTACAGATATCTTTAAATATCATTTATACATATCTCTATGTTGATACTAGACTGCAGTTACGCCTTGTGGCAAAACAGAGAGTGGATGTACTACCTCAGGGATGACACAGATAATTAGATATTATGAGTTACTAGACTGGCTGGTAGATCTTATTATTTAGTGGATTAGTGCACATTATTACATCACATTTTTTTAAACCTTTTAATGATTGTGTTACAATATTAAATTGTTCCTTTTGTAAAGCTACTATATATCTTACTTTTTTAGTTAAAAACATTATTCTCAGAAGTGGTCTGTAAGCTTCACCTAAATGCCAAAAGGAGGGTCCACAGTACAGAAAAGGGTTAAAAACCCCTGTGCTGGCGCACCTTTGTGAGGTGAAAGGAGGTCAGGTCCTGATACCAGCTATTGGCCATATTTGGAATCTAGTCTATGCGGCCGGGCGCGGTGGCTCAAGCCTGTAATCCCAGCACTTTGGGAGGCCGAGACGGGCGGATCACGAGGTCAGGAGATCGAGACCATCCTGGCTAACACGGTGAAACTCTGTCTCTACTTAAATGCAAAAAAAAAAATAGCTGGGCAAGGTGGCGGGCGCCCGTACTCCCAGCTACTCGGGAGGCTGAGGCAGGAGAATGGCGTGAACCCGGGAGGCGGAGCTTGCAGTGAGCTGAGATCTGGCCACTGCACTCCAGCCTGGGCAACAGAGCCAGACTCTGTCTCAAAAGAAAAAAAGGAATCTAGTCTATGGGTTTTAATCTGTAGGTTTTCATGGGAGTAAAAATGAAGTAATAGCTTAATCGAAATTTGCCCATGAAATAAAAATTCTATGAAGAATAAATATACACCTACTTGGGAGACTGAGGCAGGAGAATCACTTGAACCTGGGAGGTGGAGGTTGCAGTGAGCTGAGATCGCGCCACTGCACTCCAGCCTGGGCAACAGAGCAAGACTCTGTCTGGAAAAAAAAGAAAAGAAAGAAATATACCTTATTAGTAATAACAGTGCATAGTGACAGTTCCGCTACAGTATCGGTGTAATTGGACTTACATCTTCCGATTTGACATTTTTCCCCAGGTCACTAAAAGCCCAACAGGGCAAGACACAGAAATGGAAGATATGCCGACACTTTCTCCGCAGATACCCCTTGGAACTGGAGAACAAGGTGCAGATTCTTCAGCAGAGCCCCCTATGCCATGGTTATGTGCCTGTGGTGCCGAATGGTACCACGAAGGAAATGTCAAAACAAGAGCAGGCAATCATGATAAAGAGTTGTGTGTCTTAAGTCACGAGGGACCTAAAACCAGAGTTCCCGACCCTAAAGAAGCTGCAGTCATGCCTTGTGGCAGAACAGAGAGTGGGTGTGCCCCCACATCAGGGGTGACCCAGACAAATGGAGACAACACAGGTGAGGCAGAAAACGAAGAGCTGGGCCTACTGATCAGTAAGGATATTTCCAAAAGAAAAAACCAAGAATCTTCCTTTGAAGCAGTTGAGGATCCATGCTTTCCTGCAAAAAGAAGAAAAACGTCCCCCGAATGTTCCCCAGATCAAGAGGAAACAGAAATAAACTTTACCCAGAAACTGATAGATCTGGAGCATCTGCTGTTTGAGAGACATAAACAAGAAGAACAGGACAGGTTATTGGCGTTACAACTTCAGAAGGAGGTGGATAAAGAGCAGATGGTGCCAAACCGACAGAAAGGATCCCCAGATGGGTATGACCTCCGCGCTCCGTCCTCCCCTCCAGACAGAGTGCCAAATGGACAGAGGAAGAATCCCAAAGACAGGAACTCCAAAAGGCAAACTCATACAGAGCATCCAAAACCGCAGAGAGGCTCCAGGGACGAAAATAGGCACCTGTCTTTAAAGATGCAGTTGAAGCATTCAGTGAATGGAAGAAAGATGCCAAATTCTTCTAGAGATCAGTGTAATGTATCCAAAAGTGCTCATTCCCTACAGCCTAGCATTTCACAGAAAAGTATTTTTCAGATGTTTCAGAGGTGCACAAAGTAATGCCTGGTAAAGGGAGTGCTTTGTGATCTAGTAAAGCTGGACTGTGAAGCTCTTTTCTATCATGGAATCTTTTTTTTTTTTTTTTTTTTTTTTTTTTTTTTTGAGACAGTCTCGCTCTGCCGCCCAGGCTGGAGTGCAGTGGCCGGATCTCAGCTCACTGCAAGCTCCGCCTCCCGGGTTCACGCCATTCTCCTGCCTCAGCCTCCCGAGTAGCTGGGACTACAGGCGCCCGCCACCTCGCCCGGCTAGTTTTTTGTATTTTTTTAGTAGAGACGAGGTTTCACCGTGTCAGCCAGGATGGTCTCGATCTCCTGACCTCGTGATCCGCCCGTCTCGGCCTCCCAAAGTGCTGGGATTACAGGCTTGAGCCACCGCGCCTGGCCTCTATCATGGAATCTTTATCCACATGTTACTCATGCTGCTCTCGGGGCACACTCATTGTCCTTAATAAAGGTCTGTGTGGTTGTGAGGGCTGCATAGACACATGTGCTTCTGCACGGCTCAGCGGTAAGCAGGGGTCCCCTGTCGTTTCCTTAATAATGGATATGTATTAAGTTTTACAATTCTTATAGATAGCTTAAGCTTTGGCCAACTCCAATAAGTCTCCCAGTGCCACTGTCTTTCCAAAAAATGCATGTTTTATAGCCTTTGCTCACCTTTTCGTCATGACTGGTAATCAAAGCAATATTATACTATTCTAAGTAATTAAGGAACCCATTCAGGGTTTAAAATGTATTTTCTTGCTATTGTCCCATGTTTTACAGAGTACTCAAAAGGTATTTTCCTAAAGTAATCTAATTTCCATCTCCAGTTTAATTCAGTTTTCGGCATTGTAGCATTTCCTTTGGTGTTTTTTGTTGGTTTGTTTTGTTTGACGGAGTTTCAAAATTTGGATTCATACTCATATGTGGGAAATCCCAGATATTTCTTTTTTTTATCCGTTTCCAATTGGATTACTTGACCCCCCCATCCTATTTCTTTTTTTTTTCCTTTTTTTTTCTTTTTTCTTTTGAGATAGAGTCTTGCTCTGTGGCCCAGGCTGGAGTGCAGTGGCGTGATCTCAGCTTACTGCAACCTCTGCCTCCCGGGTTCAAGTGATTCGCCTATCTCAGCCTCCCTAGTAGCTGGGATCACAGGCATGTGCCACCCTGCCCAGCTTTTTTTTTTTTTTTTTTTTTTTTTTGTATTTTTGTATTTTTAGTAGAGATGGGATTTCACCATGTTGGCCAGGCTGGTCTTGAACTCCTGACCTCAGGTGATTCGCCTGCTTCGGCCTCCCAGAGTGCTGGGATTATAGGCATGAGCCACCACGCCTGGCCTGTTTCCTTTGGTTGAAAGTGGATTCGAATCAGTGTTAAATCAGAAAATCACGGTTTTTGGGAATTAGTTGCCAGAAAGGAAACTGGACTACGCAGAAGGAGTTAAGAGCTGGGATGAGGCTGGAAGGGGTGACCGACAGTCCGGATCATTGAAACTGGGTGGTCAGAATCTGGTCCGGATGAGGATGAGGCTGGATGGGGTGACTGAGAGTCCGGATCATTGAAACTGATTGGGTGGTCAGAGTCTGGTCCGGATAAGGATGAGGCTGGATGGGGTGACTGACAGTCCGGGTCATTGAAACTGGTCCAGAATGACGCAGCAGGGGCCGTTTGGCAGAGCATCCTCTTCCCCGTGCTTTGTGAAAGAACACAGGAAACATTTGGGTTTTGTAGCTTTTCACCCCCTACTATCAGGCATCAAAATCAAAATTAGTTACTAAATTGTGTGAATTTTTGGAAACCTGCATTTCTATTCATCTGCTATTCCAGAGAAAAATGGGAGTGTATTACAGGAGAGTTACCTCACAGTATCTTATGTTGTGGAGCCTGAAACAACCACGTGTTTTCTTATATGTTCATTTGTGTCGATGCTCCCTTTATTTGAGTTTATGAACAGAAATAGAAAGTATGGTGCTTGGGTTTTGCCCTTTCTTAACTCGTGACAGTTGAATCAGAAGACACTAATTTCATTTTGTGAAATTTAGCTCAGAGATGATTGATCTTTTGTTTCATTAACGTGAACAACGATTAGTAAAAAAAAACAGCTTTAACAGCATTTCTGCTGATATCTCGTAATCTATTCTTTAATGTGAAAATACGATAAAATGTCCTAGAGCTAATTCTAGCTTAAATTTGCTGATATTTTTGTATGTCATTAGGTTTTTTCCCCCTAAGTTTGGTAATAGAAATTTTGTTAATCTTTGCATACTTGATGGCATCTGTATCAATGTTGATTGGGTAATTATAAATTCTGTGCTAATTTAAAACTTCATTTGCCTCTTAAGGTGATTGCCCTCTGAGTAATGATTGTAGTTAAATGAAGTGTAGTTTGCAACTATTACTATCACATTGGTTGTTAAGTAAAAATAAATAAACCCAATTTGGCTAAGACAGACCAAGATCAATCTTCTCATCAAATCAATATTTCTCTAAGAGCAATTTCACTTTAAGTTTTAGGGTGGACATTCTTGGAATGCCTCAAATTAAAAGTTATCTATTTAATAATCTTCCTGGAATAGTCTGTGACCAAAAAGGAGGTGTGGTATATTTAGGTGTAAATATATCACATACATGGTATGATATATTTAGTATTTATATATTCAGCTAATTCTCTGTGAAGTTTTCCTGACTAAAATTGGTTTCAAGATAAACTAATTTTTCTGTTAGTATTTCTACGGTGCCTACCATGTATGACTTTTTGTTAGAAACTAATAAATGTATCAGTCACTAGCATGTACTGGTTCTTTTTCCTCTCATTTTTGTGGAAAGGATATGCAAACGTTGAATTTCTCAGGGAGTACTAAGGCTGTGCAGAGGCTGAGAATCTGAAAAATAAAATATTAAAAATAAAAATGGATTATTATGTGTATTTTACCACAACTTAAAAATATATAAAAATCAGCTACATAAAAATTAAAAGTTCTGCATAACAAAAACTACCATCAAAGGAAATTGGAAGCTGTGGCAAACTTGGGAAGAAATAGTTGCAATTCATCACAAAGAGCTAATTTCCTTTATGTAAAGTATCTGCCAGTTCATTAAGAAAAGACCAATAACTCGGCCAGGTGCGGTGGCTCACACCTGTAATCCCAGCATTTTGGGAGGCCGAGGTGGGGAGATCACCTGAGGTCAGGAGTTTGAAACCAGCCTGGCCAACATGGTGAAACCCTGTCTCTACTAAAAATACAAAAATTAGCTGGGCATGGTGGCGCATGCCTGTAATCCCAGCTACTCGGGAGGCTGAGGCACGAGAATTGCTTGAACCCGGGAGGCGGAGGTTGCAGTGAGCCAAGATCGTGCCACTGCATTCCAGCCTGGGCCACAGAGCAAGACTCTGTCTCAAAAAGAAAAAAAAAAAAAGTCCTCAATAGGAAAACTAGAAATGCTTATGTTCCCAAGAAACATCATTCACAAGAAAGTAACTATAACTGGTTCTTAAATATTAGGTGAAAAGATGCATAATATTACACTAATACTCATAAGTTTGTTCATCCTTAAGATTAGCAAAGATAAGCCAGTTTTTTGTTTTTAATCTTGGCAAGAGTGCGAGGAACTAGGCATTCTTATACATTGCTTGGTATGAATAGAGCATTGAAAATCCCTGTGGAGGTAAGTTTGACAATTCTAGGAATTTCTTAAGGCTGTCTTCACATGTATGCCAAATGACATGTACAAGAAATTTTTGGCTGGGCATGGTTGCTCATGCCTGTCTCAAAAAGCTGGGCATGGTGACATGTGCCTCAAAAAAAAAAGGTCGGGGGGCCGGGCACAGTGGCTCATGCCTTGTAATCCCAACAACTTTGGGAGGCTGAGGTGGGCGGATCAACTGAGGTCGGGAGTTCAAGACCAGCCTGGCCAACATGGAGAAATCCCATCTCTACTAAAAATACAAAAATTAGGTGGGTGTGGTGGTGGGTGCCTGTAGTCCCAGCTACTTGGGAGGCTGAGGCACGAAAATCACTTGAACCCAGGAGGTGGAGGTTGCAGTGAGCCGAGAGATATGCCACTGCACTCCAGCCTGGGCAACAGAGCAAGAATCCATCTCAAAAAAAAAAAGAAAAAAAAGTCTTCATAGGAAGTCTGTGATGTTGTTTTACATAACTCCAACCACCCCCAAAGTCAGGGTAGATACCCAGAAAACACCTTAAGAAAGCAGTAAGCGGCTGGACTTGGTGGCTCACACCTGTAATCCTAACACTTCGCGAGGCTGAGGTGGGCCGGTCACTTGAGGTCAGGAATTCGAGACCAGCCTGGCCAACAAGGTGAAACCCCGTCTCTCCTGAAAAAAAAAAAAAAAAAAAAAAAGGCCAAGTGTGTTACCAGGACCTGTAGTCCCAGCTGCTGGGAAGGCTGAGGCCGGAGAATCGCTTGAACCTGGGAGGCGGAAGTTGCAGTGAGCCAAGATCGCGCCACTGCACTCCAGCCTGGGCGACAGGGCAAGACTGCGTCTCAAAAAAAAGAAAAACTAAGTGTTCTTAGGATATTGCAAGATAAAGGAAGCTTATAAATCTCAATCTGCACCACTGTAAATGGCCCTTTTTGGCCTTTTAACTTTTAAAAATTATAATTCAGGAAAGCTTTTTCAGCATTAAGAGAAAATAAGGGCTGGGCATGGTGGCTCAGGACTGTAATCCCAGCACTTTGGGAGACAGGCAGGCGGATCGCTTGAGCCCAGGAGTTCGAGATCAGCCTGGGCAACATGGTGAAACCTCATCTCTACAAAAAGCGGAAAAATTAACCAGTTGTGGTGGTGCGTGCCTGCCTGCGGTCCCAGCTGCTCAAGAGGCTGAGGTGGGAGGGTTACTTGAGTCCCGGAGGTCAAGGCTTCAGTGAACCAAGATTGCACCACTGCACTCCAGCCTGGGTCATAGAGCGAAACCCTGTCTCGAAAAATATTTTATTTGTTTGAGGGTTTTTTTTTTTTTTTCTTTTTCTTTTTTTTTTCTTTTTCTTTGAGACGGAGTCTCGCTCTGTCGCCCAGGCTGGAGTGCAGTGGCGCGATCTCGGCTCACTGCAAGCTCCGCCTCCCGGGTTCACGCCATTCTCCTGC